GTTTAGGGTTTCGGCGAGCAACCAGGCGAACTATACAGAACCCCTTAGCGCTCGGCCTCAGCATCACTTCACGCCAAGACCCCCCCCCCCCCCCCCCCCCCAAAAAAAAAAAATAACAAAAACATGAAAATCAACCTCGTGGTGCTAGGCTCGAGCATCACTTTCCTCCCGCCACCCCCTCCCCTCCCGCCCTGGTAAGCCCTCGGGTTTCGGGTTTTGTTTGGGGTTTGTGTCCTGAGTTTTTGGGGGTTTTGCCCTGGGGGGTTTTGTTTGGGGTTTGTGTCCGGAGTTGTTGGGGGTTTTCCCGGGTTTCTGGGGGGTCTTGTGTTTTGCTTTTGAAACTTGCCAACTTCGTTTTGGGTGGCTTTTTGAAAAACAAGATCTGGATTTGGCTGCAGGCCAAAGACACGAGCCGCGTCTTCGCCAGCCTAGAAGACCAACTGAAATCCTTGCAGCTGCCTGAGTTCCGTTTTGTTTTTTTTTTGTTTTTTTTTTTTTTAGTGTTGAGGGTGAATAACTGCCATATACCAACTATACACAATCTACTTAATTCGGTCGCTGTGTGAAAGGGTTTCTTGTGCTTGTGGAAGCTCAGCGCATTGATGTGAGGATCCATCTGATTCGCTGATCTGCCACGTTTAGCCTGTGCGGGATGCCTGCCTCGATGGCTTAGCATTCGGCTGTGGGGGGGGGCGGGGGGTTACTACACTATTTGCTTAAGAACACCACCTATCTATATCTGTATACATATATATACATACATATACATCTATTTCCATATTTAACAAATAAATAAACAAAACACATAAACAAATAGATACGTAGATAAATAAGCAAAAAATAAATATATACATATATATATATATATAGATATATGTATGTTGTATGTATATATGTATGTTGTATGTATATAAATAAATAAATAAAGGAAAAATATATATATATATATATATATAAACCCAAATCCCAAAACGGGAGCCCTAAACCTTTAGATACGGGAACGCCCCACTCTCCACCCACAAGCCCGCAAGCCAAGCCTCCCACTAAGGCAAGAGCGGGTGCGAGCAGCGGAAGTCGCCGGAAGTTCTGCCGATGCCACGGATTGGCTTCAGGGTTTGCTATGTCCCCCTTGAGAATTTTTTTTATTTTTGTTTATATAAAACCCAAGAGGATATTAACACCATCATTTCTATTTGAGGTTCTAAGGGGAGTATAGTTTTGGGGGGGGGGGGTTGTCTGACCCGCTTCTTCTACGCCTCTTCTTATGGGCAGCTGTCTGCGTTATGGTCCGTTTGGGAGGGTTCCGCTGAGAATGTGGAGCCTTATATGTCGGGTAACCCTCAAGATGCACCATCATCTTAGTCTTAGTAGCTGAGTAGGTATCCTTTACCCTTTTGGGGGGTACATATCATCCTACCATACATAATTGACAGGTGAACCTGTTTTGAGCAACTAGGTCATTTAGCCCTTATATCGGTGCACTGGTTCACCTAGACCTTCGGGAAATCCTGAACTGCCGGCTCAACTGAAGCCAGCCAAGCCCCAAGCTCCAGCCCCAGCTGAAACCCTAACCCTTCTCATCCTTAACAAAGAAGGCTTTCTTGTAAGGGCAATAATTATAGTGATTTTTATCTTTCTTAAGCAAATTAATAGATAAGGAGGGACTCAGAAGTGCCCTGAATCTAATTCCCCGTGATTCCCCTATCAAAACACCTTCGGTGGTCCCTATATGCCCAAGTAGCTCTTCTCCCCACGTCACCCCTAAGGCCCCTTCCTTGCAAGGGTCCTTGAGATCCTTTGCTTGTTGTGGGAAGTAAAACCCTTCAGGACCCCGAAAACGCACAAACCATAACACTCCCTATAAGCCCCAAAACCCCTACACCCTAAACCCTACAACCCCTGGGCGTCAAAGGCATGAAGCACCCAAACCCTAAACCCCAACCCCTCTCAACTCTAAACTCCTGGGCCTTTAAACCCCCAAAACCCTAGACTTTACAAAACCGGAAAACACTAACAATCCTTGAAACCTTATAAACCCCGCAAAAGCCCTAAAACACCCAACGCCCCAAAATCCCTAACAGCCCAAGCCCAGACCCCGGGGAGGATCCAAGAAGTAGATTCCTTCTGAGGGTTCCTAAGAATGACCCCACATTAGTATCGGGTACTATGTGGGAGTAAGCTCTAACCCTAAACCCTAAACCCTAAACCTTCTCCACCCAGGGCTCTTAAAAGCCCTCCTGAGCTGAGGTCTCCCACTTCTCTGGCGACTTGCAGCTTCTGGCCCAGGACTTCGCCGCGGCCTTAATCTTGTGGTTAGGGTTTGGGGTTTGGGGTTTAGGGTTTAGGGTTTAGGGTTTAGCGTTTAGCGTTTAGGGTTCAGGGTCTAGGGTGTAGGGGGCTTGAGGCAAAAAAAGGGGTCGGGTCCAGTGTTTCGGTTTTCGAGTTCAAGGTTTAGGTTTATAGGGTGCGCAGGGTTTACATGGGCTGATAGGCTTTACAGGGCAAATGGGTATGTAGGCGGCTTTAGGCCATTTCTCCCAAGCCCAAACATGCCCCCATGTCCTCAAATTCCTCAGCTCACGGGCTCGAGATCTCCAGCCACCAACTCCTCAAGTTAGGGTTTAGGGTTTAGGGTTTAGGGTTTGGGGTTTAGGGTTTAGGGTTTAGGGTTTAGGGTTTAGGGACGGTACTCTCAGTCAAGGGCTTGGGGCAGCACACGGCTCCAGTGCCGCAGGGCGTCCCACTCCACTCATGCCCCCCTAAACCCTAAGCCCCAAGCCCTAAACCCCAAACCCTGAACCCGCACCCCCACCCTTCTCATGCAGCTAAGACAAGGCTGCTTTGCGCGGGGAGGCGCGGGGAGAGAGACAGAAGGGATAGGGCTGTAATGATTCTGGGTGTCTAAGGGTAGTTGGTAGCTACATGGGCCCTTTAATATGGTCCCTTACCTGATGTATGGGCCCTGAATTTGTACAGGGCACCTAAGGGGTATACAAGGGGTCCCCTTTTAAGGGCCCATACTAAGGGACTATGCAACTACCCTAAGAGGGTGGCTTCAGGGCTTGTGCTCAGTTTAGCCCGATGTCGCCTGCGATCATCTGCCCTATGCCCTCTTATAGGGAATTTTAGGAGTTGTTTAGGGGTTACTTAGGGGCTACTTATAGGTATATAGAGACGATCTAAGGTACATGTAATGTAGCGGTTATATGGGGGTTATACAGGGGAATTAAGATTCAGGGTCCCTTCTAGGGGTCGCTTTATACCCCTTTCATACCCTATGCTTCTATCATCCCGATTTGGGCTTGAGTTTTTCTCCCCCAAAATCGAACATGTCGGGAGAGATTCCTTGAAGCTTCAGGTCTACTTGCATGTAGGATCACAAGAATGGCAACTGCATTTATCGCCGGACGTAAACAAAGCAACTGCAGAATATGCCTGTGAACCTTCAAGTATTCCCTAAACCGTAAACCCTAGACCCTGCTGTCAAACTCGGGCGTCTCATACAGCGCATTGAGGAAGCTAAGCCTCCGCTGTTGCACTCTACTAGAACCCACATGGCGGCTAGCTCACGCATGTTTGGAAGCAAGGGTTGGAGCTGTACCTACATGAGCCCTGTATAGGGGGGTGGGGTTGAGGGCTGAGAGGGTGTAAATTGCAACATCTCTCACTTTGCCAGGGTATGAAGGCTACTCTGGGACAATCTGGCAGTGCGGTGCTTCCAGATTGCACACCTGAACTGTTTTAGTCTTGGAACCTAAACCCTAAACCCTACAGGGCTCAAAATGACATTCTTGGGCTTCAAATTTGGGGTTCTTGGGGCTAGGGTTGAGCTAAGTTTGGCTGAAAATCTTAGTTTTTCGGCTTGTCTAGGGTCTCGCGGGTTTGGGTGTCAGGGTTGGTTTAGGGCTTTGTCGCTGTCAGTCTGCGCGTGCTGACGTGGAGCTGCGGGAGCGCGTGGCCAGGCAGGGAGCATGCACCAGATGGGTAGTTCTCTACATCAGGGTCCCCTTTTTGGGATCCCTTCTTTAAAGGGTGCCGCCCTATCATGGGTAGCCAAAACGCTAGGGTCCCATGTTGGGCAGCCCTTCTTTAAAAGGGTGCCGCCTTATAATGGGTACCCAAAAAGGGACCCCAATTTAGAGAACTACCCATATGGCTAAGGAGTCCAATTTGTTAAAGGTATAATAAAGTTCAGAAAAGATAGGGTCCGGTTGGTTTTATAGTATTTCATGGGCCCTTTACAACCCCTAAAGAATGCCCTTAATCATGTGCAAGTTTCGTGGCGGGTCTGCAGGTTAGAGCTTGAGCAAACTGCAGCTGGCCACTTCTCTACATGATTGTATACGCTTGGCCGTCGAAACAGGGTGCCAATATCTTGATCCTCAGATGTACGGTTCAGGGGGTTGGAGGTATGGCAAAGCCAAGGAGAGTCCTGAGAAGTTGTTCTCTCAGCTTCGCCAAGATGCTGCACGATGCTGCCGACCGGTTCTCGGGTTTGGGCGTCGTCTTTTGGATTTCGGCGCGCTCTCTGGCATTTCAGCTCAAAGCTCCTCTAGCTCAGACCCAGATGCACTTCCTAGCTGTCGCATAGCCGTCGGTGACTCGTTTGCCTCCTGCTTGGTTCAGCTTGGGAAGACCATCAGGTAGACCCTGGGGATATTTTGCTGCCATCATCTTCAGAAATATGTTTTAGAGGATTTTGAAGGGCCATCCTACATAAAAATCGAACAGCATAGCAGCACCCGTTGTCGAAACTCGAGTGATAGGGTTCTTAAGGGAGGGTGATTCAAGGGGTGTATAGGTAGCTTCAGACCCCCAATCCCTGAGGCCCCCTAGCCCCAAGCCACTGGTTTAGGATTCTTTGGGGTGTTTTAGGGTTCAGGGTTGAGGTTTAGGGTTAAGGGTTCTGAGACATTATAGGGTCTAGAGGCTTGTAGGGCTTCTAGGGGCTTTTGGGGGGATTAGTGGGGCTGGCATGGTGTAGTCAGACCCTGCTGGCCATGAGCCGCGCTGCGTTTGCGGCCCACGGCGTGCTCCGGAGCCCCGGGGCTTTTCCTCCCCGACTTTGCGCCGCGCTGCGGAAGGTGGACTAGGGTTTCAAGGTTTAGGGTTTAGGGTTTAGGGTTTCAAGAGGAAGTTTAGGGTTTTCAGTTTACTTTCCCCCCCCCCCGCCTTCCCCCTATCTCAACCTGTACTTGGCACATCTAGGGAGGCATCTTAGGTTAGGGCGTGCATCCGGGGGGGGCGTCATGGTATGGGGCTTAGGTCCTAGGGGTCCATGTACCTCATTATTGTGTACTTGGGCCCCAGAGTCCCTTAAGTAGGAGGTACTTTAAGGTCCCGAGTAGTCCCTATTTAGGTACATGGACCCTTAGGGTTAGGGTTTCGGGCTTGTTTTGGCAGGCTTTTTCTGCTCCATCCTGAAGTCCTAAGCCCCAAACCCTAAACCCGCAATCCTGAACCCCAAACTTATACACCCTACCCCGAACAACCCTCATCTCTAAACCCTAAACCCTAAACCCTAAACCCTAAACCCTAAACCCTAAACCCTAAACCCTAAACCCTAAACCCTAAACCCTATGTCCTGGAGATGCTGGAAGGAGGCGCTGGCTCTCTTGGAGAAGGTCGCCGCAGTGCACAGGGTTGCAGGGGCTTGTGGTAGGATAAGGAGTGCTTGCACCAGTGGAGCAGCTGGCAAGCTAACCCTCCAAGCCCTAAACCCTAAACCCTCAACCCTCAACCCTAAACCAGAACCCTCAAACCTAAAAACCTTGGGGGCGGGGTGTGGGTTTTGGGGCTTGAGGTTTAAGCGGGCTTCGGGGGCCTTATAGTTCAAGAAAGGCTTTTGGGTATTGTCTGTCTTCAACCCGCAACCCCGTTGAGTTAGAGAGGCCTCAACGGAGGGTGGTTCGTGGGGGGTAGGTACCTGGGGAACCTTAGGGAAGCTTGGGGAGCCTTCGGGAGTGGTAGGGAGTTTCAGGGAGCCTTACGTTTCCCTGAAGAACTCTATAATTGAGGGGCCCCCCCAATCTCATTCTCCAAGCAGGCCCCACACCCTGTTTTTGGGGAGCCATTTGCTGATGGGTGATTAGGGTTTGGGGTTTAGGGTTTGGGGTTTAGGGTGTAGGATTTAGGGTTTAGGGTTTAGGATTTAGGGTCTAGGGTCATTTCGTAGGTTATAGCTTGCAGCAGGTCCAGGGAGTGAGCCCTTTCGCGCTGTCGCACCAACTTCGGCGTTGGTGCTTGGGCTCAGATGCACCTACACCCGAAGCCTGGCTAATCCCCCCAGGCGCCAACCCCAGTCCCCACCTTGAACCCAAAGGATTTTCCCTAAACCCTCAACCCTCAACCCTCAACCCTAAACCCTAAACCCTCCTAGGCCTATTGGGTTGCTTAAAGGCAAACTCAGCGTGCTTCGGGACTTCTTGCTTGGTGGAGGGCTGCAGAGCACAGGGCTTTTGTTTAGGGGGGCTGGACGTGTGTCGCGTTGCAGTGTTTCGGCGTTCTAGACGAGGCCTGCGCTCCGGCTCTGATTGGATTTTGAGGTTCAGGGTGCAGTGTTTCGGGCTCAGGGCTTACGAAATCTTATAACCAATGTCATCCCCGTAGGATCCCTATGTAGGCCCTCAATATCATCATTAGTTAAGCGTAGGGTTCAGTGAAAGGCCCTCAACTCGAATTGCCCCTACAGGGCCCAGACCTGACAAGGGTGCGTGCGTGTGTACATACATACATACATACATACATACATACATACATACATACATACATACATACATACATACATACATACATACATACATACATACATACATACATATATGTACACACAGACTTGTTGTAAATCTTCATGTTCATGTTATCCTCTCTGTTCTGCCTACGCTGGTTATCCAAGCACTATGGCTCATGTCTGTTGAAGCAGGTATCAGGGTTGCTCTTGAAGTTGTATATATACCCGGTGCACCCCTGCCATATTCTGTAAGCTTCGTCCGACTGCAAGGTCCGACTAACCCTAAACCCCAAACCCCAAACCCCAAACCCTAAACCCCAAACCCCAAACCCTAAACCCTAAACCCTAAGCCCTGGGAACTCCTTCATGCCCCCAGGCTCACTGATCCCATCCGCGCCCCCGCGGTAAGCCTTGCTCGGTTGCTGGTGCGGTACATCCGACGGCTACCATGCTGGGGTTTAGGGTTTGGGGTTTGGGGTTTGGGTTTGGGGTTTGGCATGGGGTTTAGAGTTTAGGGTTTAGGGTTTAAGGTTTAGGGTTTAGGGTTTAGGGTTTAGGGTTTAGACCCCCCAAGTACCCTTTAAGATGCTCTGCCCCCATCGATGTGCACTTAGGCCTCTATTCAAGGCTACTTTGGGGGTGCAGGCTTGGTGCTTCTTTTTTTTTTTTTTTGGGGGGGGGGGGGGGGGGAAGTGGGAGTTCACGAAATAGGAGACCCCTAAAATAGACCCTCAAATAGTTGGATTCTCTTAAGAAAGGGACCCCAATAAGGTACCCCTCATTTCGGAAACCCCCCACGTGGCTACGGAATCGGTTCAGGGTCTGCAGGCTTAGACATCCCAGGGGCCCATGAAATTCTGGTGCTTGTCTTTGTCCGGTCTCTTTGTCTCTTTCTCCCTCCACGATTTTTCATCACATCACGGCCCAATTTGGCCCCCTCATTTTTCCTTCTACCCTCCTTCCCCCCCCCCCCCCCCCCCCCCCATCCCCCCCCCGCCCTAAACCCTAAACCCTAAACCCTAAACCCTAAACCCTAAACCCTAAACCCTAAACCCTAAAAACCCTAAACCCTAAACCCTAAACCCTAAACCCTAAACCCTAAACCCTAAACCCTAAACCCTAAACCCTAAACCCTAAACCCTAAACCTAAACCCTAAACCCTAAACCCAAAGCCCCTTGCCACCTGCCTGCGCCGGCCTGCGACGCTGCGACGCCAGGCCCGCCACATCCTTCGAGCTCCGTTGACACCACCGGTGTCTGAGGCGATCCTTCCGCTTCGTGGTTAGGGTTTAGGGTTTAGGGTTTAGGGTTTAGGGTTTAGGGTTTAGGGTTTAGGGTTTAGGGTTTAGGGTTAGGTGTTAGTTTGCAGAAGTCGCTTCGTCTCATAGGTTTGCAAGGAAGAAGAGAACATACGCTCCCAATGAAGATGTACCAAGAACGGCTCGATGTTCGGAAATCTAAGCATCTCCCCACCCCCCATCCCCCGTTCGAGGCCCTTCAATCAGAAGCCCGAAGCTTTACAACCCAGAGCCTCGGGTGTTGGGAGTAGGGTTTACTTCAGCATAGCCAGGGTTCAGGACTTTATATGGTTTAGAAGTGTAGATAGTATTTAGATCCTAAAACCCCAAACTCCTCGTAAGCCCCAGAGTCAGTTTCTCAACCATACAGCCTACAACAATAGGTTTGTTCTTCCCCCTGATGAGAACTATAGTCAAGAAGTGCATGAATCAACAGCATACTACAAAATAACACAATATGAACAAACAAATACCGAAGGCTCCAGAATAAGCGAAGTCTGGTAAAAGCCCCCCCCCCTAACCCTAAACCCTAAACCCTAAACCCTAAACCCTAAACCCTAAACCCTAAACCCTAAACCCTAAACCCTAAACCCTAAACCCTAAACCCTAAACCCTAAACCCACTATTGGTGCTACCGCTCCCCGAGGCCCTGCAACACCTGGTCCCTGTGGCGCAGCAGCTGGGCCTGCGTGAGGATGCAAGGAGCCATGATGTGCACATGTGAAACAGGGTTTAGGGTTTAGGGTTGAGGGTTTAGGGTTCAGGGTTAGGGTTATTTAGGGTTTAGGGTTTAGGGTTTAGGGCTTAGGGTTTAGGGTTTAGGGTTTAGGGTTTAGGATTTAGGGTTGTTACTGCTATTGGTGAGTGTAGAATAGGGTCCCTTTTCAATCTTAGGGAGTGTAGATGCTTGGTCTCCTTTCCGGGTTACAAGGAATGTAAACCCTACTTCATGTGGGGTCTAGGCCTACGTAGGTTCTGTTTAGGGTTTGGGGCTTCTTGGTTACAGGGCTTGGGGCTTAGGGCTTAGGGCTTCATGGCGCACATGAATCCGCAAGCCTCAATTGCAAATCCCTGAACCTATCGCGAATCTAGAGCTTTATAGACTGAGGGCTTTAGCACTGGCATCGTGCTGCAAACCCTGAACATCAATCCTAGAATTGAAGCAGCTTTTTTGTCTTGCCGGAGGGACCCTTTTGTAAGTGGGTGAGCAATCGCGCGTGAATTCGCGGCTTTTGCAATTACAGTTACAGGTTCATGGGTGTCCTGTAGGGTTAGGGGTCATGTAGGGTTAGGGGTTGAAGGTTAAGGGTTTAGCTTCTGCCTGATCCCTATACACCCCCAACCCCCACACCCCAAATCTCCAAACCTTAAAACCCCAAAAAGAAACATGAACCCCAGGCCCTACACCCTGATCCCTACACTCTAAACTGCCCAAACCCCTAAACGCCTAAAACCCCAACTCCCGAAACCCTATACTCCAAGTGCAGGCTCGTGGAGCTAAACTACACAGTGAGCCTCCCCGGCGCGCCCTCACAGGACCTGACTGAGTGGACTCTGATGTGTTTTGGCTTAGGGTTTAGGGTGTAGGGTTTACGGCTTAGCGGTTTTGGGCAGCCAATCCGAGGGAACCCCCCGGCAGCTTACAAAGCCCTAAGCTCGAAAGTCCTTGAAGGTTCAGGGTTTGGTGTCTAGGGTTCTCGGGAAAGCTCTAAGCCAGAAGGAGATGCACAGCGACATCTCACCCATGAATGAGACGCAGCGTGTCCTGTCTCAGACGGCATGAGGGGGTGGGGTCGGGGGGTTTTAGGGTTTAGGGTTTAGGGTTTAGGTTGGGGGGAAGGTGATAGTGCTCCACCAGCTGGTCACGAGGTTACCTGTAAACCCTGCAAACCCTATAAACCCCGAAACCCGAAAGCCTTTTAAACCCTAAGCCCTTGAACCCGAAACCCTAGGCCCTAAACACCCTTAGGGTTCAGGTCTCATTGGACTTTCGGTGGTCCACCATGCGGAGGGTTTTGACAAAAAACCTAAAGGTCACAAACGAGCCCGATAAGCCCTAAAACCCTGTATAGCCCCCTACCCCGAAGTCCTGAAGCCACCCCACATACCGAGCAGTCGAACAGAGCTTCGAACTCGAACCCGAACTCCTAGACCCCACATGCAAAACCCGAGGTGTCGTCACCTTTTGGGCAGCAGTCCAAGCTGTTCACGCAAGCATGGGCCCCACGGAGACTCTTGGAACTTCTGAATGCTCAGGTCTTCTAAGTTCCTGGTTCCCTGCAGGGAAAACCCCTTGTATTTAGGGGACCCTGTACCCCCCGTACATCCCCCCACCCTATATACCCCCAACCCCCCTATACCCCCCCCTTCCACCCCCCTCCCCCCACCTAGCGCTACAGTATTTAGGCTTTAGAGCAAGGTGGTGGGAGGTTGTGGAAGGTCTTTTTGGAAACAACTAACCCCAGAGACCCATTCTGGTTGAACAGGCCCTTGCCATGCTACCCTAAACCCTAAACCCTAAACCCTAAACCCTAAACCCTAAACCCTAAACCCTAAACCCTAAACCCTAAACCCTAAACCCTAAACCCTAAACCCTAAACCCTAAACCCTACTACTCGCCCTTAGGGTTCACAGTCTGAGGCTCTCAGATCTGTCGCCTCCAACCATACGAACTCACAAGCTGTGTTGGAGTTCAACTTTCCCCTATCGAGGTTCTCAAAAACCACCTCTGAAAGACCAGCCCCCACTCAGCAGAGCATCTACGGCTCCGGGCTTTTGAGGGTGTAGGGCTTAGGGTTTAGAGTTTAGGGTTTAGGGTTTAGGGTGCCGGTCTTACGGATCCTTCGAGCACCTTTTGACAGAATCTGTGATGTCAGCTGAGGATATGGCCGGGCTCACACCAAGTGGCGCGGACCTTCATAGGCTGGCTTCAGGAAGTTGCAGCCCCGAGAGAAAAGGCCCAGCAACACGCCCCAAGAATATTTTTGGAGCGATTCCCTGATGTCTTCCCTTACTTCTATATACCCTGAGCCCTATAAACCCTAAAAAATGTTTAGGGTTTAGGGTTTAGGGTTTCGGGTTTAGGGTTTAGCGCCGGCAAGGATAGAGCACAAGCCGCAATTTACAGTCCAAGCCTCTGTAGTTCTCGTCGGGGTACGAGTTACAGGGAAATACTGCAGGGGTCGGAAGAAGTACTGATAGCTTTCTCTTGTGGTCCCTTTGTGAGAGTACTACATGAACCCCCTAAAACCTATTCTCACTATTCAGGCCCCTATATTCCTCTCCCCTAAACATCCCTAAACCCTGAGTGCCACCAACCCGAAACCCTAAACCCCAAACCCTAAACCCTAAACCCTAAACCTAAACCCTAAACCCTAAACGGCCCTAAACCCTAAACCCTAAACGGCCCTAAACCCTAAACCCTAAGTGCCACCAAAAGCGCTGCGGCCACGTGGAGTTGCAGGCAGCCTTCCACCAGCGCTGCAGCGGCAGCGGAAGGCAGAGCAGCGGCCAAGAGTTCGGTTTAGGCCTGATGCTCGGGGTTTAGGGTTGAGGGTTGAGGGTTTAGGGTTTAGGGTTTAGGTTTCAGGGTTTACAGGGTTTCAGGGTTTAGGAGCCAGAAGTTTTAGGGGACAGCGTTCATGGGCTTAGGGCTTAGGAAGCTGCACAAGCCAACAAATCTCCGGTGGCCCTTCCGCGTCTTAGACGTTAGGGGTCAGGGGCCCTGACGCCTTCAATCATCCACATGAGGGGAAGGAAAAGATACGGCAAAACCCAACAAACAACAGTTCAACTCATGAATTTGGAACCCTAATTAAACCCTGAACCCTAAACCCTAATGTGTGTATATTATATTCATTTTCTGCGTGCTCCGTAGAGGAGGGGGGTAAATATCTTTGACCGCAGCGTTTGTTCTCAAACAAGTGGTGGTACCTGGAGGTTCATGGCACTTCTCAACCAATTCTAATTGTATTCACAACTGTACTTATAGCCATATTAGGGCACTTAAGGGGGCTTATAAATACAAGTATAAGTACAGTTCTACTTGGTTCATAAGTACCATGAACCTCCAAGTAAGGGAGGTGAACCTCAACATAATCAGAGGGCTGGCTGGGTTGAGCTTGGACATGGTTGAGCTTGGGGCGAACTGGGTTAGAAAGTGGCACGCATGTTCCGTCTGACCGTCTTGCTCCGTTCAACACACCTCATACACAAAGACTTCTACAAGAATCTTGACTCAGAACCGCCGGCGCGCCCCAAAGCGCCAAACCTCAAACCCTGAACCATGAATCCGTGAAGCCTGCGACTTAAGCACGGCCAGAGGTCCCGGAGTACATGTACGTGGACGGCGAGTATCAGGCTGCGGGCAAGCTTGGGTTGAGGGCGTAGGCTGGGGTTCAGGGTTTGTTGGGGGTTTAGGGTTTGCGGTTTTAGGGTTAAGGGCTCAGGGCCATTTTGTTGGTGTTTAGGGTCTACGATTTGGGGTTCAGGGCATAGGGTTTCTGACTCAAGTTTCCTGTTTGTTTGGGCACATGCCTTTTTAGGTCTAAAGCTGGGTCTTCTTCTTTGCAGTTCAGGATGCCTACCGTAAGCCCTTAAATTCAAATCCTAAACCTGCAGATCGATTTGGAAGGTGAATGTCGGATGATGCAGCCCGTGAGCTGCTTCGGTCGAAGAGTTTTGGGGAGCAGGGGCCTGGGTTTATGAGTTGTAGTTTGGGCGATGTCGGGTTTCTGGGGCTCAGGGTGGGGGAGGGGCTATCTAAATATTTCCAGGTAGAATGCTAAGGACGGCTTGGTTGAGTTGACTGCCCCTCCAAGCCTTACAATCAGGACCCTAGTCCTGAGGTCCAAATTTCCAAAAATTTGGTAGTTGCTCCGGGGTGTAATTGGCGAGATGGTGCATGTTTGTGCGGCTGGACGATGATGTAAAGGCCGTGTCGCCGTCTGGCGAGCCCATCACTGAGGAGCAGCTCGAAGAAGAAAGGCGCTTTTTCATTCAAGAACTGGTAGACGGGTTTAGGGTTTAGGGTTTAGGGTTTAGGGTTTAGGGATACACCTTACATTATTGGGAATCCTTAAGCTATGACTGGGCTCCAAACACATGTTCAGCAACCTTCCTTATTCAATGAAGGGGTATTGGAGTAGACTCTCGACATCATTGGCTTTGGGCAAGCGACACCAAAACCCTCAACCCTAAACCCTAAACCCTAATCCCTAAACCCTAAACCCTAAACCCTAAACCCTAAACCCTAAACCCTAAACCCTAAACCGCTCAGTCTCTTGCATGGAGGACCACAGCACAAGCTTCGGCACTTTGTGGTACTTTACTGTAACTTTAGATCCTTAGCCTGTTTGGGTTTATTGGGTTTCTTAATAAGGCAGCTAAAATTATGTTTTAGCTACCCTTCTGAGTGTAGCCAAGGGCAGTGGATGACACAAGCCTTGTGCATGCGCATAGAAGACTGGTAAGTTATAAGTTGGCACGCAAGGCGGTGAATCACTAAACCTAGACGTTTGTGGTATAGGCTCTACAACACTACCCTAGGCACGAACGAAACGTACAAATTTGGGGTCGCCCGCTTTTCAAGCACACACAGAGTCCTCCCCCCAGTCCAAAGCCTGATTAAACCCTGTAAACCCTATTAAACCCTTGAAAAAAACCCTGAAAACCCTGAAGGCCCCATAAACACTTTAAACCCTAAACCCTATAGGGTTTAGGGTTTAGGGTTTAGCGTAAACACTTAAAACCCTAAACCCTATACACCCTCTAAACCCCAAACTCCCTTCGCCCTGGCCAGGCAGGCCTCGGCCGAGGCGGCCGCCGAGCTCAAACGCCGAGTCCGTGCGGGGCATCTCGAGGCTGATGGGATCTAGGGTGTAGGGTTTAGGGGTGTAGGGTTAAGGGTTTGTGGTTGAGGTTTGGGGTTTAGGGTACAGGGCTCCGGGTTTACAGTTTAGGTTTTCGGTGCTGTGATATGACGCCGAAGATGGGAAGGAAAGGAGACAGAGCAGTTTCTTCGTCATGTGCGAAGTGCAGCCATGGCCAGAGTGGGTCCATCAACGCCCTGAACCCTAAACCCTAAACCCTAAATACCCTAAACCCTAAACCACAATCTCCCACCCCACGCCGTTTAAGCTGCCAGCTGCCAAGTCACCCAATCAATCTACTTATGCCCTATCCCCATAATCAACCCTATAAAGGGCCTTTTGAAGCGTTTACAGGGCTTAAAGGGGTTTGAGGGGTTTGTTCGAAGAGTTTGTCGGGGCGGTTGGGGTTGACCAAAAAGCCAGAGAACATACAAAGTAGGTCTATCTGGGGTTATAGGGTATAGTAGTCCATGCTGGTAAGTCTTGCATGTTTGGGGCGTGTCGATTCATGTTGCTGGCACGGCTTTCTTTACCTCCTGGGGTCTGAAAGAGTCTGAAATGCACGCAGGCAAAAGGCTGCAAGTTCCACAGGGAGTGAGAGGGTTCTTAAGGGAGGGGGGGGGGGGGGTTCAAGGGGGGTAGGTACCTCGGGAACTCTAGGGGAGCTCAGGGAGCCTTAGGGCGTAGCAGGGAGTATTAAGGAACCTTGGGCTACACCCCCTTGAACCCCCCCCGTCCCTGAAGAACCCTATAACGGGAGGGACAGCCTCCGGGCTAGGCCCCTGAGCTGCGGCTTGATGCTCCAGCCCAGCTCGAGGCTTGTCAGGTTGAGAGTTGATTCTCTTTCTAGGGTTTAGGGTTTAGGGTTTAGGGTTTGGGGTTTAGGGTTTAGGGTTTGTAGGGGCTGAAAAACCCCAAACCCTAAACCGTGCACCCAGAGCCGCAGCCTCAACCCTCTACCTTTGTCGCCAGGCCATGACGTCGGCTTGTGGCGATGTGGCCGCTCGCTGCACCCGTGTTGGCGTACTGATTTTGGGGCTCAGAGAGTTCAGGGCTGAGGGTTGACACTTTTTGTGATTTTTTGGCATCTCTGGGTCTGTTTGCTCCTTGAGACCCGAAGCCCTTGAAGCCTTAAAGCCTGAAGGGTTTAGGGTTTAGGGTTTAGGGTTTAGGGTTTAGGGTTTAGGGTTTAGGGTTTAGGGGCTCTTGGACCTGAAGGTTGCCATGGACTGCCGGGTATTCCACCGCGGCAGCGCCAACTCCTCCTCGGAAGCACGGGTGCTCTTCAATGCTTCCTTTCAGGAGGCGCCGCGCTGTGTAGGGTTTAGGGTTTAGGGTTTAGGGTTTAGGGTTTAGGGTCTAGGGTTTAGGGTTTAGGGTTTAGGGTTTAGGGTTTAGGGTTTAGGGTCTAGGGTTTAGGGTTAGGTACTAGGGTTTAGGGTTAAAGCCTACAGCCAAATAGAGGGGTCGGGAGAACTAGTCATAGCATTCCTTAGGGTCTCTTTGTAATTATACTACGTACAATAACCGCCCTCCCCCCCCCCCAAAAAAAAAAAAAAGAAAAGCCTCTTCGAATTATTAAGGCCCCTATAGTAGGGTTTACGGTCTAGGCTTCGCTTGAAGGTCCATGTGTAGTTTCTAAGTGGGTTCGCTCTCTGGAGATATTAGGGCTTTGGTCAGTGTAGATGCTCTTCCTCAGGAAGTATGGCGAGTGTGGCTATTTACCATGTGTACCACAACGACCATGTGCACCTGAACTAGAGCCCGAAACCCTAGACCCTAAATCCTAAACCCTAAGCCGCGGCCCTGTCTGTAGCCCTATGTATACTTTCAACCCCCGAAACCCTAAACCCAAGTGGGCTTGGGGCTTTGGCCCGGCTTAGAGCTTCGGCCCTTTCAGGCTCTACCCTAAACCCTAAACCCTAAACCCTAAACCCTAAACCCTAAACCCTAAACCCTAAACCCTAAACCCTAAACCCTAAACCCTAAACCCTAAACCCTAAACCCTAAACCCTAAACCCTAAACCCTAAACCCTAAACCCTAAACCCTAAACCCTAAACCCTAAACCCTAAACCCTAAACCCTAAACCCTAAACCCTAAACCCTAAACCCTAAACCCTAAACCCTAAACCCTAAACCCTAGCCTACAACCAAAAACAAAACAGCCCCCTGGCAGGATGCCCCTTGCTGCTCCGACCGCGTAGCCTCTGCCACATGGCCCTGGCGGTGGCTGGCTGCACCCACGCCTGGAGACACAGTTGCTTCGGGGTGGGGGTTCGGGATGGGGGTTTAGGGTTTAGGGTTTAGGGTTTGGAGGTTTAGGGTTTTGAGTTGAGAGTTTAGGGTTTGGGGTTTAGGGTTTGGAGTGTAGGGTTTTGAGTTGAGAGTTGAGGGTTTACTTCAGGGTCTAAGCTTAGACCGCCAAGCCCCACGAACGAAACCCGGTTAAACGAGAACAAATGCGGTGGATCATGAGGTCGTGACTCCCAGGACCTATACCCACAACTACAAAATATACTTAAAACTATACACGGATTTAGAGTTTATGGTGTGTCCTAAGCGAAGAGACAAACCTTAAAACTTAAGCCTTGCCTAGATCCCAATTCCAGCTCCTTTGTTTTGCTGCTAACTTTTCTGCTTTTGTCTGGCTTGCATAAACAAGAAGAGGCGCTAGTACCCAACAATACCCAACATGTACCCAAAATAGAAAGTCTTGCTCAGCCCCGAACTGAAATCAAGAAACTTTCCCCCCTACACCTTACACCCTAAACCCCAAAGCCCTAAACCCTAATTAGACCCTAAACCCTAAGCCCTAAGCCCTAAGCCCTAAGCCCTAAGCCCTAAACCCAAGCAACTAAACCCTATAGACCCTAAACCCAAGCAACGCGACAATGCAGCTCAGGTCGGACCCCCGGGCCATACAGGGTTTCACCTACCACTGCCTGCCCGAGGTGCTCGGGGCTGACTACAGGCTGCGCGACTTCCGCGACGGAGCAAAGAAAAGTGGAGTTGCGGCTTATGAGGGGGAAGCCAAACGTACAGGAGCCTCGGGTTCCCAGACGCCTAAACGCCTAAACCCCCTAGCCGTAGCTTGGTAGCCAGTCGTACCCTTTCCCTGTTTTGGGGTTCTGGGTTCCCTTGTAAAGTAGCCAACCCAAGAATGGGCACCCTTATGATAATCTACTGGGCCACTAAGAGGAGTCAGGTCCAGTTTTGGGCTTAGTATATGGGGGTTTACGACAATAAGGGACCCCTTGTGTAGTCCCCCACAGAGCAGGATTTCCTATAATAAGGACCACATTAAGGTACCCCATTTCGGAAACTCCCATATATATATATATATATATATATATGTTTGTGAGGCGTCAAGGCAGTTCGCGGGATCTGTTTGTATCAGGCTTTAGGGCAGCAAGGGTAATAAGGCTTATGCCAGCGCGTCCTTGATTTTTTGCATGTGACGCGTTCACACGGTTCTGTCACATGTTGTTGCTTCTGCTTTAGATGTCTCTTCGTCTCTTCCGCACTGAACCCTAATGTGCCCTGCCTCCTTTCGTTCTAAGGGCAGTTTCATGGGCCCTTTATATGGTCCCTTACCTCCTTCAAGGGGTTCTGAAGTATGGGCCTTTAGGTTGTATAGTCTATATATAAGAGGGATATAAGGGGTCCCTTTTTCAGGGCCCATACTCCTAAGATGCACGAGCTCGCAATGGGAAGCCTCCACCCTACATGTCTTCGCCCTCAACCCTAAACCTCTACATCCATAGCGGAGCAGCACCGCACGCCAACAGCTTATCCACCCAAGAGCGTGGGGCGAGCGGCGAGGGGGGGAGGGGGTGTCCTCTTTTTCCCTGCTGCTGGCTAGTAAGGCAGGAATGAGTGGGATATTAATATTAGCCGCTCTTACTTTTCCTTCGTTCCCTACGAACCAACCGTAAGTTTAAACCAAGCCACGACTCAAAACCCTACACCTCGTGCTCCAAGCCCTATCTAAACTCCAGCCTCTGCAAGGGGCGAGCGGGAGCTAAAGGCCGAGATACGAGCAGCGCAGCGTCTGCTGTTGGAGGTCTGGTGGGTTTAGGGACGACAAGGCCCTAAACCTCGGATTTTTGAAAGCTTGTTAAAGCGCTTTGCAAGCCACAGGATATAGTTTCTCAAGTAGGCCCTGGTTTGGGGTCTCCAGGCCTTGTGTATATAGGTTTCAGGGCTTCGGATTGGAGGTCCAGCGCTTAGAAGTATGGTTTATTGGTTTAGGGCTGTGGTGGGGTTTCCAGAGATTCAAGGCCAAATCTGCTGATGCTTTTGGGTTCAGCCCGGTTTTGGGGCTTACGGGCGTGGGGATTTAGTGGGTTAGGATGTCACTGTTTCTAGGGTGCGTGGAAGACGGCCCAGAGACTCGCAAAGCCTTTTTCAAACCACTAAGGGCCAAATCCGAACCCTAGACCCTGCAACTCTTGCGGTTTAGGGTTTAGGGTTTAGGGTCTAGGGTTTAGGGTTTAGTTTAGGGTTTAGGGTTTGGGGTTTAGCGTTTAGGGTGTAGGGAACCTGAGTCCTCACCATCATGCCTGCAGGTGGCGGAGGGTGCACGGCACGTGTCCCCCGAGCGTCTCACTGCGCCGCTGGTAAATGTCAAGGGGGTCGGAGGGCCCAGTTCATGCCAGGGCCAGGTTCAGGGTTTACAAGGGTTCTTAATCATTCCGTTGCGCACATCGAGATGGATGACACGTGCTGGCGTAGCTAGTTTAGCTCTAAACCTTCAACTCTAACTCCTAAACCCTGCAAGGAACTGTAGCCTTTCAAGCCCTGGGTGTAGGGTTTAGGGTTAGAGTATAGGGATCAAGCCATCTAAATACTCATTCAAACCAAAGCCATGAGCCACAGCTCCCGAAACCGCAAGCCCTCAACAACCCTAAGCCCTCAACCGAGAAATTCAACTTAACTGGGTCCAGGGCTTTATCATCGGCCGAAAAGCACCCCTGAGCAGGCGATGGCAAGTCCAAGCGCTTTGAGATCATGTCAGGTGTATTGCGGCACTGGACAGAGGGCGCCCAGACATTGACCGCATGAGCACACGCAGCTTGGTGCATCAGCAGACAGCGCACGTCTTGAAGAAGTCAGCGCTCGGACTTCTTCATCGCTTAAGACGTGGAGGCAGGCTGAACTGCATGGAGAACCTGGCCATCTTAACTGCAAGCGGCTTGACAATGCCCCTAAGCCCGAAAGCCTAAATTTAAACCCTAAACCCTACCTGGGACCCTCGTTACCTACAGCTGTATGAGTCTACCTACTCATTAAGGGTAAAACTGTAGGTAAAGAGGGTTCCAGGAAAACCGTAAACCCTAAACCCTAAACCCTAATTCCTAAACCCCAAACCCCAAACCCCAAATCCCAAACCGCAAACCCCAAACCCCAAACCCTAAACCCCAAACCCTAAACCCTAAGCCCTAAACCCTAAACCCTAACGAGTTTAGGGGTTGCATTTGGGTTCCTACCCCGTACATCCTAAGTGTAGGATACTGGGGCCTCGAGGCGACCGGAAACTTGGCGCGGGGTTCAGAACCCCGACCCCTATTGGTGGAGGGTTAAGGTTTCGGGTCGTCTAGGGGTTTAACCCAAACCCTCACAACCACGGAGCTCGAAATTTTACCCCAGACCCGCCAAAAGCACGAAGCTCTAACTATACCTCAGACCCTCAACACCCCAAAGGACTCAAAATTCCCTCAGCTTGAAACCCTCCATCCCAAAACCCCAAACCCTCCTTCACTTTTTTAAAGGGTTTAGGTTCTTTTGAAAGCCCCTTTCAACGAAACAGGGCACCTTTTTTTCCCTGGGTCCTAGCTTTACTCTAGGGTCTACTATCCCTAAACCCTGAACCCTGAACTAAACCCCACACCCTGCGATGCAAAGGCGCCCGAGGCCGGTCCGCTCCCTGCACTTCCTGGTTTCGGCGTGCCACCAGGCCTTGTGCCCTCAGCGGCTCAGGGCCATAGATGTACGTTTGGGGTTTGGGGTTTAGGGTATAGGGTTTAGGGTTTAGGGTTTAGGGTATAGGGTTTAGGGTTTAGGGTATAGGGTTTAGGGTTTAGGGTATAGGGTTTAGGGTTTAGGGTATAGGGTTTAGGGTTTAGGGTTTAGGGTTTAGGTTGGTGGACATGCTCAATGTGGCGGGGCACATCAAGGAGTTCAACCCTGCTAAGGCTACGGAGGTGACGCGTGACCCACGACCGAATTCAAGGTTGCTAGCCTGCTTGCCTTAATATAATCATGGCTACAATACGAGAAGCAACAATAGTAATAACAACAGTAAGAATAAGTTGGTGCTCCTAATTGCAAGGGCG